TTTTGTAGGAAATTATACAGATTTTACGGTGAGGGGTTAGAACTTTTGAGAAATGAAATGATTTTGAAAAGTTTGTTTTTGCCCACTCACACTTTCTGTTTTGCGCCCCTCCAGGTTCTAGTTAGGAGTGCTTTTTGGTGGCTTACGAGGAATCCACGGTAGCTCTGACAAATTATCACCATTGTATGGTCACCCTTAGGTGTTGTATAATTAGTTTTCGTCCTGCTGGACCGCACTTAGGCTACTTATGCTCTGGTTGTGAATTCACACTTATTTCATCTTGCACTTGTTCTTGTTTAGTGCTCTAGTTAGTTTGGTTTTTATTTATTCGCACTTCTTATATTATTATTGCTGCACATGGCAACGTCACCCTCATATGATGGCCAACACGCCTTGATTTTGGTCGGGGTGTGTCAAAATTTCTTCGATTAAACTTGACATGGATACATTTTAAAATCAAAGAAAAAAGAACGTACCCATATAAGTTTAAAAATGGATTAGAAAAAATTTGAATAGATTTTATATAAAAAATTGTACATTTTACATATAACAAATTGGTATATTTAAGAATGAGTACATTTTAAGATTAAAAAGTTTTACATGAATGGGTACATATAATTAGTATGGGTACATTTAGCAAAATAAAAAGTACAAATAAAAAAAATATATGGGTACAAATACAAATAAACTTAAAAAAATATGGGCACAAAAAGAAATTATTATATGGGTACAAATTAAAATTGAAAAGAAAATTGGTACAAATTAAAAATGGGTACAAACTAAAACTAAACATATATGATAAAAAATTTAGTCATAAATATAAATATACTAATTGTAACATTTTTAACATTAAATGAATATATTTAGAAATAAAAAATATTTTATTATTGAAATAATTAATTATGTTATTAATAACCAAGGTGTCACATCCACGCCCGGGGCAGATCACTTCCTAGGCCCACTCCACCACCGTAGCACGATATTGTCCGCTTTGGGCTTACCATTCCTTCACGGTTTTGTTTTTGGGAGCTCACGAGCAACTTCCCAGTGGGTCACCCATCATGGGATTGCTCTAACCCCCTTCTCGCTTAACTTCGGAGTTCCCATGGAACCCGAAGCTAGTGAGCTCCTAAAAGGCCTCGTGCTAGGTAGGGATGAGAATATACATTTAAGGATCACTCCCCTGGGCGATGTGGGATGTCACAATCCACCCCCCTTAGGGGCCCGATGTCCTCGTCGGCACACCACGACCAGGGTTAGGCTCTGATACCAATTTGTCACCCATAGGACCTTGATAAAAAATTGAAAATGAATAGGATTTTAATCAATGAAGTAGCAAAAGGAAGGATGAGAACCTAATTTCTCCATTTAAGAAAGAAAATATCATCCCAAATTCGATATGGCTCCCTAGAATCTCTCCACTTACTATAAGGAGATCAACTGTAAATTGTAATGCATGAAAAGGGAAAGATATTTAGAAAATGGATACTTTGGATGCGGTCCCTAATCCTTAACATTCTTTAATTAAAACCTTAATAGTATTCAAAGTTTGATCAAGGTCCCTTGACTTTGTACACCTCATTATATTATAGTTTTGACATTAATTGTTTGATATTTTATGAGATTTATAATCCTATAAATTTAAAATCCCTCATTATAATACTATTAGAAACGGTTACATAAAAAAAATTCAAACATTTTGATTGAATAAATGGCTAAAAACTATGTAAAAATAAGAAATAATAAATGGCAAAAGAATGTCTCCATAGTGTTAAAAAAAAAATGTACCATTTTACAAAAAAATTGGTACATTTCACATTGTTTGGACCTAAAATTATTGGGTTGGGCCGAGTATGGAATTGTTCTCAGCCCAAAAGCTCTATTTGAGGATTTTTACAAATCAGCCGGTTCATGGGCTGCCTAACTAAAAGTCGGCCAAACCCTGTTTGGAAAAGAATATTCTAGATGAATAAGAAGTAGGTGGGCCTTATTGTGAAGCAGATGAATGAAATGGTTAAGTCCTGATGCAGTAAGGATTCTCGGCCGGATAAGGGTACCGGAAAGTGGAAGTGAATGTGGCCTAGTAAGAGGTTGAATTCAAAATCCTAATAGAAGTGGGATTGGCCGAGATAAGATGGATTGGGGTAAGGACTCCTAGGTACCGTTTGGTACGTGGGACGGGACAGAACAGAGTGGGACAAGACGTTCCGTCCCACGTTTGGTGCGCCTTAAACGGGTGGAACGAGCTGTTCCACGGGACGAGTTTTGGGTGAATTTTCGTTCCACCTCACCCCCCTGGAACGACTCGTTCCACATCCGTGGAACACAAAATTATAACCTCTCCGTCTCCTTCTTCTTCCTCCTTGTTTCCATCCGAGGGCATCTTTGCTCCCGCTCCATTCCGTTCCGTCCTGTCCCGTCCCGTCCCGTCCCATCCCGTTCCGTCCCGTCCCGTCTGCATACCAAACGATACCCTAGTTCGAGTATGGTTAGGATTGGGTTTTGCTGCTATAAATAGAGAAAGGAGGGTGCAATTCAGGGACCTCCAATTCAACACACAATTGCCATGTGCAAAACCTCAAACATCTTGAGATTTTTTATTTCCTTTTCCCGCCGACACATCTTTAGATTCAATAAACAGCACTGTGAAGGCAACCGGCGAACACCTTTAGTTTGGATAAACAGCAGTGTTACCGTAGAATCAGCCGACCGAGGAGCACCTTCAGTTTGGATAAACAACACTGCGTCGAGGCCGACTGGTTGCCTATCCAAGTCTCGGTCGAGAAGGGTTTCCGAATCCTTATTGGCAGATGTCATCTTATTAGCCTTCTCGACGAAGTGAGGTGTTACGAGTTACGACATTCGGCGTATTGAACGCCGAGTGATTTTATGATTGGATGCTCACAAATGAGTTTCAGAGTTCGGCATTCTGACGGCTGAACCACATTCACCATCAAGACATACATCACCTTTGAATACTTGTGTCCGTACAGTCTGGTGTCGATTCGAAGTGCTTATACTCTCACAAATATAATCACTGTGACCGAATTCGACGCCGACGATTTGTGAATTTCGTAGAACTAGCAGCCTTGTCTTCAAGCTCGAGAATCCAAAGGCCGAGATTTGTTCCTTCCTCGGCCACAATCGCAAGATAAAGAAGTCAGCAACGCACTCAACGCAACATCAACAAATTTTACTCCTCGACCGACAAGTTGGCACACCCCGCATTCAACTGAAGGACGTAGTTAGCTTATTAGTTACTCAGCCTGCACGCCACGTAGGCTTTGTAATTTTTAGGGTCAACGCACATATAACAAAGTGGTACATTAATAAAGAAGAATGGGTACATTATAAACAAATTAGGGTACAGATAAAAGATTAAAAATTATGAGTACAAATGAATTTTTAAAAATATAGGCGCTAAAAGAAATTAATACATGGGTACCATATGTAATTTTTCTATCTTTGATTAAATATACAATGTCATGTGACGGTATACACATGGGTACAAACACAAACAAAACTTTAAAAGATACGGGCACAAAAAGAAACTAATATATGGGTACAAATTAAAAATGAAAAGAAAATTGGTACAAATTAAAAAAAATTTGCAAATTAAAAATAGGTACTAACTAAAAATAAAAATATATGATAAAAAATTTAGCCATAAATATAAATATACTAATTGTAACATTTTCAACACTAAAGGAATATATTTAAAAATAAAAATATTTTATTATTCAAATAATTAATAATGTTATTAATACCCAAAAACCTTGATCAAAAATTCAAAATAAATAAGATTTTAATAAATGGAGTAACAAAAAGAATGATGTGAATCTAATTTTTTCTTTAGAAAATACTTCTAAAACAAGAAGAAGAAATTAATGTTGAAAAGCAGCCAATTAAGCTCTTTCCCGTTGCAATGGGCGCCATTAATTACTCCTCGTATCTGCAGTCTGTCTTTCCTTAAAGTTCGATTTTCTGCACAAATGGGTGTTAATTATTCAATTAAATCTAATTAGGAAAAGAAAAGAAAGAAATATAAACAAACTTGGAAGGACGCGTTTTACATAAAATCTCCAACCGGACCTGATTCAAGTTTCATGCTTTCATGGAATTAAATTAACAACACCCCTCTTCATATAGTTTTCAGTACAACAATATATTTTACATTAAGAGGAGGAGAAGTTCGTTTAAACCACATAATTGAGAACCTTATTTGGTATCGAGTTCGCCATCCACGAGATTCGAACTTAATACCTTTTACTTATAAGTGAAGAGGAATACTACTAAACCGTAGTACTGAGTGACCTTTTTCATATGGTTAAGAAAACTAATTTTTCATAAAGAAAATTTTCTCCCATTTTAAGCGTGAATTAAACAGCGTTGCTAGTTTACTCACATTATATTACATGTTTAACTAATGTATTAACGTACTCTAAAATGTAAACTCGTCGCCCATCTAGATACATTATTACGCAAACTAAAAATATTCAATTATAATTTAACAAACCTTATTTTAAATCTCAAGTAATAATACATAGCAGCAAAAATGATGTTTTTATTATCTAGTTATACCGTTACTTATACTATCTTCCTAATAAATATAGAATTCACATACGTTAACGGACTTTACCTTCATCAAAGAGATGATACAAGTAATAGCATTACTAAAAGAATTACTGTGCCAAGTTTTTTAAATAATGCTCTCTTATTGGCTCATCAACACTGCAGCTCCAACTGGGTCCCAGCCTTCCTGGTCGGCACAGACACATGACAACTACTCACCATCGATTATTATTTAAAAAATATTTAATCATTTTATTATCGTATTATGTATTAATATCCTGTAATAACACCAGGGATCAATTACCAAACTTTCTCCTATGATATTTTTGCGTGGTTGAAATTCACCCACGTGTAGCCCTCTCACTGGTCAATACCAGATTTTCCCTCTCACTGGATAGATAACATCAGCACTCGCCATTGTGCCTCTGAGAACACACCTACGATTCTACTCGCTTCTCTCTAACAGAAGTCACACGCCTTCGCTAACAAAGTTACTCCCTCCGACGTCGTTTTGAGGATATACATGGGCCTCCAAGACCGGTGGACTGCCGCAGCTGTCGGCTTAGTCGACAAGTCCTGCGACTCCTGCAAGACCTCGGCGGCGGCCTTGTTCTGCCGAGCCCACTTGGCTTTTCTCTGCCTGGCCTGCGACTCCAGGATCCACCCCGCCAACAAGCTCACCACACGCCACGAGCGAGTCTGGATGTGTGGGGTCTGCGAGCAGGCCCCAGCCGCCGTCACCTGCAAGGCTGACGCCGCCGCTCTCTGCGTCAGCTGCGACGCCGACATCCACTCGGCTAACCCCCTCGCCCGCCGCCACGAGCGGGTCCCGGTCGAGCCTTTTTACGACTCCGCCGAGTCTATCATCGTCAAGTCAACAACAACTGGCCCGTCATCCGCCGCCGCGGCCCACAACTATCTCGTCCCAAACGGCGACGTTGTATTTAACAGTAAAGACATTGAAAACGACGCCGCGTCGAGCTGGCTGATCCCCAACCCGAATTTCAACTCGAAGCTCCATATGGATATCACTCCGGACATCCTAAAGTCCTCCGATGATCTCATCTTCCCCGAAATGGATTCGCTGCTGGAGTTCGATTACCCTACCTCAATACACAATATTTCGGGTTCAGGTGCGAGTAATGACAGCGTTGTTCCGGTTCAACCCGACCCGATTCCACCGCCATCGTTCAACATGAACTACAACTTTTCGGGTCCCGCCGATCACAACTGCTTCGACCTGGACTTTTGCAGAAGCAAGCTCTCTTCTTCCTTCAGCTATCCGACTCAGTCCCTCAGTCAAAGCGTACGTTATCCGAATGAAATTAAACTATCTTCCTCCGATGTCTCGGTGCAAAATTTGACATTTTCCCGAAATTCCGAAACTGTGTACTGATTATTGTGGATATTTACGTGCTTTTCAGGTTTCGTCCTCTTCCTTAGATGCCGGAGTTGTTCCCGATGGAAACTCCCTCTCCGATATACCGTATCTCTTCGGCCGAAACACCAGCAGCAACGGTTCGGAACCGGGAGATATATCCTACTCTTTCGGCCCAAAAGCCAGCAACAAGGTTTCGGAAACCGACGTACCGGTCTCGGCAACTCCTGCGAGTCAACCAGCGACTCAGCTCTGCGGACTGGACAGGGAGGCTAGGGTATTGAGATACAGAGAGAAGAGGAAGAACCGCAAGTTCCAGAAAACAATCCGATATGCTTCGCGGAAAGCGTATGCCGAAACTCGTCCGAGGATCAAGGGCCGGTTCGCGAAACGCAACAAAACCGAAACCGAGACCGAGGTGGGGGATCGCATCTATTGCTCCGGGCCGGGCATTTATATTCCGGACCCACAATTCGGCGTCGTTCCGACGTTTTGACAATTGGGGATTATCTATTTTATTTTAGAGTGTGGTGTAATGATTGGTCAGCCGTGATTTATCGTTTTCGTTTTTTAACTTTTGAATGTTTTCATCCGTCTTTGTAAGTCTCTTTCATTTAAATTTGATGCAAGTCAGTAAAGTCCCTCTCTCTCTCTCTCTCTCTCTCCGCTTTCGTTTTCACCCGAAGAAAAATTTAATAAAATAAAAATAAAATTATCTGTCAAGGATCTGTTTCTGAATTACGATTGTTTGGCAAAACCCGCACCTACTTTTTGTTCACATACTTTATTGAGCAGGCCAGGAATTGTTGTAATCTAAAATAATGTCTGGTGGGTAAACCATTTTTTCTTTAAAAAAAAAAAAAAAAAAAAAAAAAGACAATGTCCAATGGAGATGGCTAAATGTTTAAAAGTCAAAACATGACATGATCTGCCAAAAAAATTCATCGACAACCTACAATTGGACTACAATTCTATAGAGCCCATCATACCGTTATTTGGTGAAAGGGGCATCAAGCTAGCCAAATGTAATCCCCACATTTTAGCCCTTTTTCGGAGTCTAGTTCAGTTGCAATAATTGATTTAAATTCAACAGTTAGATTTGAAAATATCTAATGGTAGTTTAATCATATTAACCAATAAATTTAAAATATACACTTAAAACTAATACATTATTAAGGAGGCTATATTTTACCTTTGGGTTAAAGATGGTCTAATATGTGTTTGTGAGGGTGATCGTGTGTGTACGAATTTTACAGTCATTTTATTCACATGAGTCAAAACTTTAGATTTCTTCCGACTAAGCGTATAAAAATAATACTACATCAAATGCTTATAAAGAATTTATGTTAATTACTCTTATATTGCAAACTAGTTTTATAGTGCAACTTTAATTTCTTTCTTGTTGTATCAAAGAACGTTAACTCATGTGTTGACCATAACCGTCTATTGACCATAATTGTCCATATGATCTTCCATCACTCAATATGTATTGTTCACATGTTAAGCTTAAATAAACACACGTGAAACTACGTCTTGTGAGCGTGAACCCAATGTCAAGGATATTTCTTGTGGCTGAGGATATCAAAACCCATCTGGCAATGCATCTGCGAGGTTGTTTCCACATTTTGCAGGTTTGGTAGCCAATCCGGTATTCCTTCTCAGTTTCTGCCCAACTAAGATTCTAGATTTAGCTTCAATTCTATTCAACTTTGAAGTATTTATTGATATTTGAGGTAAAATCTGCAAAATCTAAAACATATCAGAAGGAATTAATGATATGTTCCTCCCTCCTTCCCTTGTTTTTAGGATTGAAATATTTTCTTCCTACCAAGGTAATGTTAAACGACAAAACAAATTTATTGCACCACGTTAAACAATTCAATATGGATGCTACGGAGACCATATGATGTGCTAAGTGGTGTGTATATGTCACGTCAATTAATGAATTTGTTTTATTGATTGTTGATTGTATGTATCATTGCCATATGAGATGATACGCCAATGTGATATAAATATGTAGCTTGGTATGACAAACATGACTCAAGATGTAACTTTTTTTGGAATATTCATTAATCATTTCACCAAACAATGTCACAATCGAAGTCGTTAATTATCTTAATCATCGTTTAAAGATCGTCTCTAGAAGTAGAGATGAGTTTAGCCCAATTAGCTAGAGCAATGTTTTTCCTTTTTTGCAACCAATTTGAATCTTCATGGCGCTTAATTTAGACTAATTTAAATTAGATTGTCACTTGTATTAACAAAATAAAAAAATTATTTCTAGAAAACTTCATTCAATTTAAAAACCGTTTAGTCATCCATATAAATTAAAAATAAATTGATGGTTCATTGTGATAATATTACGTTTTACATAGCCATTGATGTAGTTATATATTTATATCGCTTAATACGGTAGAAACAAGGAATTTAGCTTCAATTTCTCTTTTGGTTCATAGTGAGACCCTAGCTAGGTCCACAATTTGTTGACAAGGTCATGAATTTGGAAAATTATTGGTGATTGATGCCTTTAAGGGAAAGGGATTCCTAATTTTTTAGTTGTGGAGCCCACATCATATCAAACTTTAATGACCCAAACATCTATTTTTCAAGTTGTATCTAATAAATCATCCTTGCAAAATATTAGCCAAATCGGAAATATTTGAGACATCTAATTGGGTCTAAAGAAATTAACGAACACTTTTTCTATAAGAAAAAAAAATTAAATTTCATTGTGATAATTAAATAGACAAATAATTTTTTAATTGAATTGAATTTTTGCAAGGATAATCTATGAATTTAGACTTACAAAATAGATGGTTCGAATCATTGAAGTTCGATATCGAGTGAGTCCCACAACTAATCCTTATTTTTAAGAAAACATGAAAATTCCTTTGCGTAAAGTGCCTGCATAAGTGATTAGGGATGAAATTTTTTCCCGAAAATCTCAAACCAAACCAAAAAAATCTCGATCCCATACCGAAAAATTCCCAAACCGATAATACTGAAATTTTTGTGATTCATACTGAACCGATCCCAAACCTTTTGGTACATGAATCAGGATTACATATTCAATGGTTCGGGAATCTTGAACCGAACAGACAATATATATGTATATTTATTTTGGTTTCATGCATATTGAATGTTGAATTTAAGTAATTTGAGAGTAGACTATATTAGAAAAAGAAGTATGAAATTAAGTAGTTTAGAACTTTAGAACGTCAATTTGACTTAGTAAGAATGATTTGGTATTTCAATTGATAATAGATAAAAAACCTAAATTTCAATTAATATGAAATTGGGCAACAAAATTTAAGCCAAATGCCCAAATTTTAGCCCACAACCCGAAACTCTCAAATTTATGCCCAAAAGCCCAAAAGTCTAAAACCTAAAACGCAATCCCGATCCATCCCGAAGACCAAAAACATTTCGGGAATCCTGAAAATTAGGAATACCGAAATTTTAGTTTGGGATTGGCCTTCAAATTCTCGTCCAGAAAATTTTGATTTTGGGATTCGAAATCCCATTTTCAATTTGGGATCCCACACCGAACCACCCCTATAAGTGATATATGAGAAGATAATAAAAATTCATTTGACCTTAATATTAAATTGCAACATCCTACATGCGGCAAATCCTAATAATTTTGGAAGGAAATAGATCATCTTCGGATCTTTTCCACCTAATCCTCTTCATCAAATAATCCTGACCTTTGAAATTTAATCCAAAGGCTAAAGTTATTATAACTTTTAGAATGAGCCCTCCTATTTTTTGCCCTTGAAGAATTTCAAGGCCCGAATTATTTGATGAGGAGAATTAGGTGGAAAGTAATTGGCTAATTTCCATACATCTGTGATTGGATTGCTATCTGAGTTGCTAATATCCCATGTGCACGTGCATCAAAGTGGAGCTGCAGTGTACATAATTAAGTGGGCCCAATCTCATCCCATCACGTGCCGCACCGGCCTACGCCATCCCCCATGGGCTATCCCCTGTCTTATTGTTTTACTGTTCCATTAAATCTGTGGACCATGCCCACATAATCACAAACATGTCTTGGTCCACTATATTGAATTCATGGTCAATGCTCTTCGGGCTGGTTTGGTATTATTGTGCTTTGAAAAAAAAATTGTTTCTGCTATGCCATTAGAATAAGTTTATTTCTGTCGCTTCATGTTTTCAGTTTTTTTTCAACAAAAAATGTGAAAATGAGCTGTTTTTAAATGTTTACCAAACACCTTTTTTAATTCAGCTTTTTTTTTTTTTATAGCCACTTTTTATAAAAGTACCTCAGTTTGAAACTAGTACTTCATCCGGGTCAGGTTCATCCGATTTAACTGGTTTCATCTTCGGGTTAGCAACTTCTTATTTTTTTGGCTGAAGAAAAACGCCTAATAGTCATTTCCTAACCGTAAGGACAAAAAGCAACGCAGCATGTAATCTTAACCAAAATCAAGGCCTGCCAGTACTTGACAAGTAGTACAAATGACGCTCTTATAAATCACGCGCTGAATAGTGAGATTTGAATAGTGACGTTGTTAAGAAAGAGCGATGGGGTTGATGGGGTTTAGGAGTATTGGATTTAGTGAAATTATGACATCATGTCAAATGAAGAAGTGGAAAAATTCTTCCTTGCTATGTAACATTAAATGCTATGAGTATTAGATGATCTAAATTGGTTTGGATTATTATTTTTATTATGGTCCCGTGAGTCAAGATCATCCAATGCTCATACATGAAATTTGAACTGAAAAAATGAACAGAAAAAGAATGTGGAGAAAGAAGGGGAGTAGGAGGGGAAGACAGAGATGTCATGTTTTACAAAAGAATTACATACAAACCAATCATATCGTTTGGTAATTATGCTTCTCTTTGCTATTATAAATGCCAAATAGAGGTATTAGTCAATTTCCTCTTTGGACTTGTAACCTTTGCCAATTTACCTCCTAAACATTTATTTTAGTCAACTACCCCCTAAACTTTTCTTAATAGCCGATTACCACACCATTGTTATATTTCCAACCTTTCCATTCTTTTTTCCGTTACAATGTATCCGTGCCAAACACATGCTTCACAAAAGAGGGTGGAAAGGTAATATCACCTCTCATCACTTTCTATCTTTCTTCACTCTCATTGTCATTTTCTTCCTTCCCTTTAAAGCAAGTCCACTTATTTTAAGAGGGCAAGGGTAATGCAGTAGAAGTGCCCTTACGATTCACTCTAAATTGTAATTGATTGTGTTTAAGTCCACTAGTTTATGAAGGGCTAGGATAAGGGCGATTACTATTCATAGTGTATTGACCCAAAAATTAAATAAGAAGCTAGTCACGGTGATTGCCCAAAACAAAGCTATGGTTAATCTTTACTCTATTAACCACAATAAATTTATTTCGGTTACTTTATGGCTGCATCTAACCTTCTTGTTAGACTGCCTATGTACCCTTAAACGAGATCAAGCCATTCGTAGTTCATCGTCATATTTAAATCATTTATCCCTTAAATATTCAAGTGGTGGACGTTTATGATACTATATTCAAAAAATTGAATCACATTAAACAAATAACAAATATGAAATTAGAATATCGAAATAAGCGTTAAATGTCAAAATCGGCCCACTGGTCGCGCATTGCCGTAGGTAGCAGGTTCCGGC